AAAGACTCCATCTCGGAAAAAAAAAAAAAAAGAAAAGAAAAGAAGAGAGCCTGCCAGGCATGTTGACTCATGCCTGTAATCCCAACACTTTGGGAGGCTGAGGCAGGCAGATCACTTGAGGTCTGGAGTTTGAGACCAGACTGACCAACATGGTGAAACCCCATCTCTACTAAAAATGCAAAAATTAACCAGATGCAGTGGTGCACGCTTGTAATCCCATCTACGTGGGAGGCTGAGGCAGGAGAATCACTTAAACCCAGGAGGCAGAGGGTGCAGTGAGCTGAGATTGTGCCACTGCACTCCAGCGTGGGTGACAAACTCAGTCTCAAAAAAGAAAAAAAAAGGAAAGAAGAGAGCCTAAGCACAAACCCCAGGGGCAGGGGAATCTATGAAGGCCCAACCAAACAGGTAAGAAGAAAACCAAGAAAATTATAGGGTCACAAAAATTATGTGTCACAAAGGCCAAAGGGAGAATCCCAAGGGGCAAAGGGCCATGAGTATGCAGGCTGTGAAATCAAGTAAGATTACAGTGGAGAAGGCCAGGCACAGTGGTTCACCCCTGTAATCCCAGCACTTTGGGAGGTTGAGGTGGGAGGATCACCTGAGCTCAGGAGTTTGAGACCAGCCTGGCCAACATGTTGAAACTCTGTCTCTACTAAAAATACAAAAAAAATTATCCGGGCATGGTGGTGGGTCCCAGCTACTCAGGAGGCTGAAGCAGGAGAATCACTTGAACTCAGGAAGTGGAAGTTGCAGTGAGCCAAGATCACAGCACTGCACTCCAGCCTGGGCAACAGAGCGAGACTCCATCTCAAGTAAAAAAAAAAAAAAAAAAAAAAAAAAAAAAAAAAGCTGGGCACGGTGGCTAATGCCTGTAATCCCAGCACTTTGGGAGGCTGAGGTGGGCGGATCACCTGAGGTCAAGAGTTCGAGACCAGCCTGACCAGTATGGTGAAACCCCATCTTTAAAAAATAAATAAATAAATAAAAATTAAAAAAAAAATTTTAAAAGGCCGGGCACGGTGGATCATCCCTATAATCCCAGCACTTTGGGAGGCCCAGATGGGTGGATCATGAGTTCAAGAGATCGAGATCATCCTAGTCAACATGGTGAAGCCCCGTCTCTACTAAAAATACAAAACTTAGCTGGGCACGGTGGCGCACGCCTGTAGTCCCAGCTATTCGGGAGGCTGAGCAGGAGAATTGCTTGAACCCAGGAGGCGGAGGTTGCAGTAAGCCGAGATTGCGCCATTGTACTCCAGCCTGGGTAACAAGAGCGAAACTCCATCTAAAAAAAAAAAAAAGATCACAGTGGATGTAGAGAAGGTAGGGCATTAAAGACTTTGGTAAGAACCAAGTCAATGGCGTAACAATGGGAAGAAAGCAGCATAAACTGGGGTGAGAAGGCAGAGAGGAGTGAGGTAGGAGAGAATTAAAACTAGGCAACTCTCAGAATGCAACTGTGAAGAGGAAGAGAAGGTGGCATCTGGAGAGGTTTTTGTTTTTGTTTTCGAGATGGAGTTTTGCTCCAGCCCAGGCTGGAGTGCAATGGTGCCATCTCAGCTCATTGCAACCTCCATCTCCCAGGTTCAAGCAATTCTTCTGCCTCAGACTCCCGAGTAGCTGGGATTACAGGTATGCGCCACCACGTCCAGCTAATTTTGTATTTTTGGTAGATACGGGGTTTCTCCATGTTGGTCAGCGTGGTCTCAAACTCTTGACCTGTGATCTGCCCACTTTGGCCTCCCAAAGTGCTGGGATTACAGGTGTGAGCCACTGTGCCTGGCCCTGGAGAGGTTTCTAAAAGATGGTGGAAGGCTGTGTTTGGAGGAGTCCACCCCCATCTCCCCTGTGTAAAAGGAAAGCGGAAGAGAGAACCACAAAAAGGGCTTGGGGGAAAGCTGTGGAGTGAGGTGATAAGGGCTTGTGTCTGAGGAATTCCGGGTCACTGGAAGCCCTATCAGGTCTGCATTTCTTCCTCACCCCCATCCCCTTCCCTGACACTGGCTTAGTCTTCTGAGGGGCTAGAAGAGAGAAGGACTGAGTCGACTGACACCCTAGAAGACGCTCTGTGTGCCTTCGGAGGTCTTTCTGCCTGCCTGTAAGCCGGGGTTGGAGCTGGGGCAGGAGAGGGGTCTGGGGTGGAGCTAGTAGTTTAGGTTCTGCCGGCAAGGATGGGAGAGGGGAGTGGGGAGGATGGGAGGTGTGGAAGCTGTTTCAGGAAGCAAAGCTGTAGGGGGAAGGGACCTGGGACCTGGGGGAATGCTTCCAGGGGCTGGAGGGGTCCACTGAAGGCCCCCTTGCCCACAGGTCCCCATGCCTCTCCTCCTCTTGTTGCTCCTGCTGCCAAGCCCCTTACATCCCCACCCCACCTGTGAGGTCTCCAAAGTGGCCAGCCACCTAGAAGTGAACTGTGACAAGAGGAATCTGAGAGTGCTGCCTCCAGACCTGCCAAGAGACGCAACCATCCTCCACTTGAGTGAGAACCTCCTGTACAGCTTCTCCATGGCATCCCTGGTGCCTTTCACTCACCTCACTCAGCTATACCTAGATCAGTGTGAGCTGACCAAGCTCCAGGTTGATGGGACACTGCCACTCCTGGGGACCCTAGATCTATCCCACAATAAATTGCAAAGCCTGCCCTTCCTAGGGCAGGCATTGCCTGCTCTCACTATCCTGGATGTCTCCTTCAACCAGCTGACCTCGCTATCTCCTGGTGCCTTCCGTGGTCTTGGCCACCTCCAAGAGCTCTACCTAAAAGGCAATGAGCTGAAGACTCTGCCCGCAGGGCTCCTGATGCCCACACCCAAGCTGGAGAAACTCAGTCTGGCTAACAACAACTTGACTGAGCTGCCCCCTGGGCTCCTGAATGGGCTGAAGAATCTCGACACCCTGCTCCTTCAAGAGAACTTGCTGCGCACAATACCAAAGGGCTTTTTTGGGGACCACCTCCTGCCTTTTGCCTTTCTCCATGGGAACCCCTGGTTATGTAACTGTGAGATCCTCTATTTTCGTCGCTGGCTTCAGTACAATGCCGAAAATGTCTACGTATGGAAGCAAGGTGTGGATGTCAAGGCCATGACCTCCAACGTGACCAGCGTGCAGTGTGACAATTCAGATAAGATTTCTATCTACAAATACCCAGGGAAGGAATGCCCCACCCTTGGTGATGGAGATGACGAAGACCTATATGATGACTACACAGAAGAGGACACTGAGAATGATAAGGTGCGTGCCACAAGGACTGTGGTCAAGTTCCCCACCAAAGCCCATACAACCCACAGGGGTCTATTCTACTCACGGTCTACTGCTTCTCTAGACAGCCTGATGACCTCCTTGCATCCAACCCAAGAATCCACTAAGAAGCAGACCACATTTCCACCCAGATGGACCCTAGATTTCACCACATTCTCCAAAACTCCAAAATCCATTACTGAACCCACCACAAGCCCAACCACCCCAGAGCCCGCCTCAAGCCCGACCACCCCAGAGCCCGCCTCAAGCCCGACCACCCCAGAGCCCGCCNAGAGCCCGCCACAAGCCCGACCACCCCAGAGCCCGCCACAATCCTGATCACCCCAGAGCCCGCCTCAAGCCTGACCACTCCAAAATCCACAACACTGACCACCCCCAAAACCATCATATTCTTAACTACCACAAAACCCATCTCACTCTTAGAACCCACCAAAAAAAACATCCCTGAATTTGAGAAGCAACCAAAGGTCCGTGGGGTGGCCCAAGGGCATTTTGACAGCTCCAGAAATGACCCTTTTCTCCACCCTGACTTTTGCTGCCTCCTCCCCCTGGGTTTCTATGTCTTGGGTCTCCTCTGGCTGTTCTTGGCCTGTGTGGTCCTCATCCTGCTGCTGACCTGGGTTGGGCATGTGAAACCACAGGCCTTGGACTCCGGCGAGGGTGTTGCTCTGGCCACAGCCATGCAAACCACACATCTGGAGCTGCAGAGAGGAAGGCAAGTGACAGTGCCCCCGGCCTGGCTGCTCTTCCTTCAAGGCGCGCTCCCCACTTTCCGCTCCAGTCTCTTCCTGTGGGTACGGCCTAATGGCCGAATGGGGCCTCTAGTGGCAGGAAGAAGGCCCTCAGCTCTGAGTCAGGGTCGTGGTCAGGACCTGCTGGGCACAGTGAGCATTAGGTACTCTGGCCACAGCCTCTGAGGGTGGGAAGTTTGGGGACCTTGGGAGAGGCTCCTGTGGACTCTCCTATTGGGATCTGGCTGGGGTTGGGTGGGTAAGAAACATGGGGTCATGGGGAGGTCTTAATTCCTTTTCCTGTATCAGAAGCCCTCTCTTCACACCACAGGCACACAAATTCAGTCCCAGCAAAGCAGAAGGGATAGTGACATGGAGTTGGGTGGGTCACAGAACAAAGCTCCCTATGCTGCATGGGGCATCTATGCACAATAGAAAATCTGGAAAGCAGTTTATCAGGATGTGAGCACTGATTGTGTCTGGATGTTATATATATGGATGGTTTTATTTTCTTTTTCCCTGTTTAGCATTTTCTAGTTTTCTACCATTATTGTATATTATCTGTATAATAAAAAATAATTTTAGAGTCAGGAGTGATGGCTCACACCTGTAATCCCAGAACTTTGGGAGGCCGAGGCAGGCCGATCACGAGGTCAGGAGATGATGGAGAACATCCTGGTCAACATGGTGAAACCCTGTCTCTACTAAAAACACAAAAATTAGCTGGGTGTAGTGGCATGTGCCTGTAATCCCAGCTATTTGGGAGGCCGAGGCAGAAGAATCGCTTGAATCAGGGTGTCAGAGGTTGTGGTGAACCAAGATGGTGCCACTCCACTCCAGCCTGGTGACAGAGCAAGACTCCATCTCAAAAAAACCAAAATAATAAATATATGTATAACAAAACATATATATATATATATATGTATGTATATACATATATGTGTGTGTATATATATATATATGTATGTGTGTATATATATATATATATATATATGTGTATATATATATATATATGTATGTGTGTATATATATATATATATATATATATGTATATAACAATGTTATATAAAAAACAAAACAGGTGTGGTGGCTCACACGCCTGTAATCCCGGCACTTTGGGAATCCAAAGCAGGTGAATCACCTGAGGTCAGGAGTTGGAGACCAGTCTGGCAAATATGGCAAAACTCTGTCTCTACTAAAAATACGAAAATTAGCTGGGCGTGGTGGTGCACGCCTGTGATCCCAGCTACTCGGGAAGCTGGGGCAGGGGAATCACTTAAAGCTGGAAGGTGAAGGTTGCAGTGAGCTGAGATCGCGCCACTGGACTCCAGCCTGGACGACAGAATGAGATTCCGTCTCAAAAAACAAAACAAAACAAAAACTTAGTTTCTGGCTGGGTGCAGGGGCTCACACCTGTAATTCCAGCACTCTGGCAGGCAGACGGGTGGATTGCTTGAGCCCAGGAGTTCAAGACCAGGCTTGGCAACATGGCAAAATCCCATCGCTATAAAAAATACAAAACATTAGCCAGGTCTAGTGGCTTGCACCTGAGGTCCCAGGTACCTGGGAGACTGAGGTGGGAGGGTCACCTGAGCCTGGGAGATGGAGGCTGCAGTGAGCTGTAATTTTGTCACTCTACTCCAGCCTGGGTGACAGAGTGAGACCCTGTCTCAAAACAACTTGGTTTCTTTTGGTGAAGTGTCTGGGACGCCTGTCATGAGAATTCACAAAGTCCCAACTGCCCCTACTCTGGTTACAACTACTCATTCAAGACTTCCAGTTATAGCCTACACTTCCCCTGCCTGGGCTGCCTCCTTCTCTCTTCCAGGGGTGGCCACCCACCAGGCCACCCCAGGCATCACATCCAGTTCAAAAATTGTCTCCCTGAAGTTTAGTAGCAACTGCTGAGACCTATCTGCCAGTAGCCTGCAATACTGGTGCAAAAGTGAGTACTTGCTTGCACCTGCAGCCTCAGAAGTGCAGCTCTCCTCACTGCCCAGGTCAGCAGGATAGCAAGGGATGGACCCTGCAGCCATCTTGGTGTGACTGAACAGTCTTGGGTTTCCTACTCTCAGGCTGGGACACGGGCAAATGGAACCCTATTTCTCTTCCCAGAGATCCTGCCATTCCCTAAACGCATCGGTGTCACTTCCTCTCTTGCCTTGTCTCTAGCCCAATCCAGGGCTTGGGGCCCAGAGAATAGGACTATGGAGACCCCCATCCCTCTCCAATTGTCCTGGAAGGATCTGATGTCTGACTGCATCTCTTCCCAGGTGGAGGACCAACTCCTGAGCTTGGCAGTCAGAGAGCGCCATGCGCTGACACAACCTGACAGTCCTGCGCCATCTCTCAAGGCAGATACCACACAGCCTGTGCTCCAAATATCACAAAACTATAGATCACCTGCTTCCCCGACAGTGTTTTACTCTAAGCCTTTGCCCTTAGTCCAGCCAGGTGTGCTGTCCTTGCCCCGTCCCCAGCCAGTCTAACCACTCAGTGTGCAAGTCACTTCTCCCAGGTGAGGGCAGGTGCTCCCGGTTACCCTGCACCACTATTGCTACACTCCGTTTCTCAATCTGCTCCTGCATAATCCTGTCTTCTGGATCAGGAACTCCTTAAGGACAAGGTCTAGGCTTTAGGTGTCTCACAATAGCCACCAAGGCCCAGGACATAGTGTACACAGAAGCAGCAACAGGAGAGCCAGGATGCTGAGCTCCACCTCTTCTGCTGATGAGGCTCTGCCAAAGGGACAGCTCCCACCTGCTGCCTGCCTGTCCCCTGACCTGGCCAGCACTCCTCAATTTGACCTTCCCAAGCTCTTTCATGCCCTAAGAGGTTTTAAGGCTCCTTGAGGGCTGGGCCTGGGAACCACACACCTCCTTCTGAAGAAACGGATAAGGTTCTCACTCTCCCCACCCAAGGACCCAGATCTGGTCTCTGGCCAGTATCCCCCTTTCTTCAAGCTTCTAGTTCCTACCCTCATAAGCCCTGGCCCTCCACCTCGACTGGCTCTAGCCCGCAATGGTCTCCTCTCTGAGACTTCTCTCAGAGTCTCTTTATTTCCTCCCTCTTTAGGCTGCAGATGCAGTCATCAGACCCAGGGGCTTTTCCTGGGGATTATGTGAGATGATCTGTGCATCTATGGCATTCTTGGGCAGGTGGCTAGAGGTAACATACCGGGCCTGGGATTTGAGTTTTCCTGGCCCTATCAGCTGCTGTAGCATGACAGATTTACACAGCACTTGCACAAAACCAGCGGGTGCTTTTTCTTTAATTTTTCTTAAAAACTCCAGTTCCTTCATTGGAACCGAGTCATTAAAAAAAAAAAAAAAAAAAAAAACTCCAGTTCCTATTCTCCAGGGGCACTAGCTTCTTTGTCCAGTCTCCTCCCCTTTCCTAGTCACCCCCCAGACTCTGCAGATTTGGGGCTGGTGTCATCAATCCAATTTATTAAGTCCTCAATGAAGGGGAGGAAGGGCGACATCTCCCCCTGTAGCCCCTTTGGCGATCCTGATAGCTTCTGCTCTTCCCTGTCCCCTCAGCTCGGCCTTGATTTCCCCACTGAAAAGGGGGATCTTTCTGCTGTCCTGTATGCCCTGAAACTAACATCCAAGAGGAGGCCAGAAATCCTGAGGAAGTTTTCCAGCTCCCCACAAGAAACAGCCAGGGACAGAGAAGTCACAGGATCAGGAGGAGCAGGGCAAGCTAGAGCAGGGGGTAGAATAGACCAAGTCCTTTACCACAGAATAAAAAAACCACACTGTGGAGGGGAAATAAATAGAGGGGTCCAGGGCAGCAGAGCCCAGGCCGCAGTGGCTGTAGGTGCAACAGATGAGTGGGTGCCCCTTGCTGCTTCAGCCACTGAGGAAGAGACGCTTGTAGGCCTTGTTCATCTGCTCCAAGAAGATGAAGGTGAGGACGGTGTGGGGGCCCAGGCGGGCATAGTACGGTGTGAAGCCCTTCCACAGGCTGAAGAAGCCCTCGTAGCGGACAACCTTGAATAGTACATCCTAGACACACAGACAGGCGGGGTGCTGAGGCTAGGCCCTGGACTCTAGGGCCCCATTCCCCTTACCCAGCTGCCTTCACAGCTTTCCCAGGGCATCTGACACCCCCTCCCAGGCCCCCAGAATAGCTTCCTCACCAGGCCATTCTTGTATTCCGGCTTCCCATCAATCATCCGCATGTTCTGGATCCTGAAGGGAAGGAGACAAGGGCATGAGAGACTGAAAGGAAACCCTCCCACCCATCTCCAGGCTCAGGCCTGCACACTCACCGGGTCTTGGCAATGTCCACAGGCATGGAGGCAGCAGTGGTGACAAGACCACTGATCATGCTGGCGCAGAAATGGCACAAGATGTTGTCAGAGAAGTAGCCTGAGGGAAGTGAAGCAGGGGTGGCAGTCAGCTCAGAGGTGGCTCAGGCCAGGCTGGAAGCTAAGGGCCCAGCTCTGGGTCTCACCTGAGTCGAGTAAGAACTGCTTGGATTGGGAGTAGGAGGCGAGCTGGGCAGCATTGACGACAACGGCCCGAGCCATGGTAGGGATGCAACCCTGGAGATAGGGGAGCAGGGGAAGAGTCAGAAATAACTAAAACCTGACCTCACATCCCCAAAGTCTCTAGCCCTTTCACTCACCCGCCACAGTGTGGGGACTCCCTCTTCCCGGGTGATTCGAATCAGGGCGTTAAACACATTTTTGTAGCCACGGCGCTGGTCAGCTGGAAGACTGGTGAGAAGGCAGGAAGAGATCAAGAACAGGATAGCCCACAGGAGCAAAGAAAGGAAGGCCTGAACAGGTAAAAGCTCTCCTCTAGATCTAGCATAAAATACTGGTCCTTTTACTCTAGATTCCAGGGAATGGGGCTGGCGTTAGGCTCAGACTTGGAACTCACCGGCCATCGGCAGTCATGCGGATAAGAGCCACTTCGGCTGGTGTTCCCACAAAGGCACCAGTGGCACCTGCAGTCATACCAATCAGAGCTTTCAGCAGAAAGCCAGGAGGTGTACCATCAGCCCCAGTCAAACGCTCAAACAGCACGGTATAGATGCCAAGGCGGGTGGTGGTGTAGGTGGCCTGGCGCAGCAGGCCAGCTGACAGCCTGAGGAGCAGAGGGGTCAGCACATCAGGCCGAGGTCTGGAGCTGCCAACCCATAGCCTACTTCCCAACCTGAGGCCCCAATACCCGGTGTAAATGCCCCTCAGGCCTTCTGCCTTTAGGATGCTGGTGAGGGCATGGAAGCTGGTTTTGTACTCTCGAGTCTTGGCCCCTTCACCGCTCAGCTGCATCCGATTCTTCACCAGGTCCAGGGGCTGGACAAAAACGGTGGCTCCCATCCTGGGGAAAGACAGAGGTGAAGGGCCAGGTGTTTCAGATCTACCAATGCCCACTGAAGCCTGACAGCAAAAGGTTACAAAGGTCAGGGCCTGCCACACGATTCAAGAATCAGGATGCTGATGGGCAGTGTATAAGAGTCTAATGTACACCAAGTGCATTTAATGGCCTGGAACCCCATGTAGCACGGCAGAGCTTAGCAATGCGCTGGAAAACTCAGGGAGCCCTGCGGGCGTTGTGCAACGACCCTGCATGCAGTC